TTTTTCTATATTTTTTCCCTTTTCGGTTATTTCTGTCCATGATTGGATAGAAAAAAAAAACTACAAATACTCCAAGATTTTTTTGACTTCATTAAAAAATAAAATCGTTTTTGTAGGATGGAAACTTTTTGAGGTCAAAACCCCCCACCCCCAAACTAAAGGAAATAAGTTTTTTATCCGACATCGATCTTTTGACGTCGTCCCTTATCTCAAGCACTTTCGCAGATTGTACAATGCTACTAGTACACTATTGATGGCAGTGTGTTAGAATTGTGGCTACTGTATCACGTGACAATATATGGCTTGTGCTGTCATCAATACGCATTTCTGACAACACATTGCATTATGGGTCACGAAATGACTATGAAAGCATAGTGCTATGATGCATTCATGACATCTGTTGGCCACAGCTCACATTCCTCACAATCCAATGTGCTCTTCTAGGGAAACCACGCGTTTTGACCTGGGCGCAATTTGCACTAATAATCGCTGATGATTCCTTCCAACCACCAACAGAAATTGCCGAATAAAAGCTTGTAACGTCTCAGCTTGTACTCGTTTGTCTGTCCAACAGTCAAACTCGCATGCGTGGTATGACGACCACCCCTTAATATATGCAAGATCTGTGCTCTCCACGCTCACAAATCAAGTGGCTTTACGAATAAATATGTTACCAAAACGTGACGAAAAGTGATGGTTTCCACGCATACAATTAAAGATATTACCAATACCATTGAAATATCGCCGCGTGCTAGAGTGCTGCGTGTGACACCTGGTTGTAAGTGTTTTTTTGGAAATTAACATTAAGATCCTATTTTCTTACTGTGAATATAAAATCATTCGATGTATAAGATATGGGATTATCTACTTTATTAAATTATTAATTATACTTTATGCTTCTTCTCTTGCTGTTGCTAATCAGTAACACTGTAGAGGTTATTAATCTTCACCAGTCACGGTAAGGATAGTCTTGTTGTTGTTGTTGTTATTTTCCGAAAATAACAAAAAATACAGTAAAATAACAACTGAAGGATAGATACAAACAAAAATACGGTTTTGCTACAGAGCCTTTTTAGTCTCCGTATATTTTTATTTAAAGCAGGGGAGTCGTCCCCTGCGCATGCGTCAGATGGCCATAGCGTGTCAATGTTTACAAACAAACGTCTACCCATGAGTCTTTGCGTTTTAGCGTGTGTTGTTATCGTCTCTTGGGACTCAATTCCCGTGCGTGCGCAGGTGACGACCCTCTCGCTTTAACATGTTTTGTCCCTTTTGAAATTATTTGAACGAGCTGTCGCCGACGTGAAAGAGAGCTTTAACAGATGTGACAAATTTAGTAACGTAGTACTGATTGATCATATACGTATGTGTGTATGACGTGTACACTTGTGTTACAATGAGTGTTTATTGAACAGTTAGGCTAAATAATATTTTTCAATGAAATTGATTTTTCCTCTATTTTTTTTTTGTTTTAAGTCCTGACCAAACAATGTTGGATTTTTGCTTTCTCGACTGACATATGCTGCCACCGGAAACATACATTGTTTTATTTAGCTATAATCGATAATGCGTAGCTAATTTATGGGACTGTATGGTGTCATATTATGTCTCACACTGAATTTAAATAAATCAGAGGTCTTTAATCGATTTGCAATTCAGCCAACGGAACGTCATATAAAACAGACATAAAAAAGGGTTGTCACATGCAACGCAAAAAAAAACACATGGTTGGAATAA